GCATAGGTGCAATGTGGTACATTTAAATACAAGATTTGATTATTTCTAAATTCAAGAGGGGGCAGTCAAGCAGTATGTGTGAAAAATATGGGGCTTTTCTCAACAGAAGGCTCTGTGTTAGTTGTGGGGTAATTTTGACACTAAGAAATATAAATATGATCTTAGGCTGTGTTAATTTATCAGTGCTTCCCAAGGCATATTCTATGGACCATTCATTCTGCAAACTATTAATAAGTTTTATGAAGGGAAAAGAACTTTAGGGCCCAATACATGTGGGAAATGATAAATGAATCAAGGTTATTCAAGATTTTCAGGGCTTTACTGTGCTGACTGCACTGTGGATTTCCAAGAAAGGGATTAATATGAAGTACTTTCTCAATTTATTTCATTACAGATACCTTCTTTTCAATGAGTACACCATACTACAAATCTCCAGCAGGACACATTTTGGGAAGCAGTATAACAAAGCTGCGCTATATAAGAAGAGAGGAATGATGATCCCTGCTTTTTCGGTCAGACTCCAACTGGGTTGTGTTATGAAAGTTGGGTGCCGTGATTTCAGAAAGGAGAGCAGAGGGGAGACTAATCAAGATGATGTCAAATTTCTCCAGGCTGGTAAACAAGCCACATCAGAAGTGGCTAAGAGAACAGAGGCTATTTGGCCTGGAGGAGAGGAGACCCAGGAAAGAGAAGATAAATGGTCTTAAAATATCTGAAGGCTTGTCATGTAGACCTAGGATGGACGGACAGGGAAATACACTTTAGATCATTCTTAGAATCAATTTCTAGTCTTTAAAATTGTTCCAAAGGTTCCAAATTTCAAACCTGGTCCATATGTTCAGTCATTAGCAGTTCCAAAATGGTTGCTCTGGGAAAGGCTGTGCATCTCCAGGGAGGCTGGCATGTCAACTGGAACGACCATCCTGGGAAATGCTGCTCAGAGGAGTTAGTAGAGGATGAGTACTTGGATCTGAAGATCTCTTCCTACCGCTGAAATTCCACGATTAATTTGGGTCTCTTCTTGCCTCAACATTTTTCACCTTGGCAAAGTAATGATAGATTTTCTTTCCTTATCTAATCTCTGATTTTTTTCCCATTTATGAGCTAAATGTTATCATTTGGGGGATCAGCTGCACAGTTACATGATTAACTGTAAAGAAAAATTCGCAAGGCAATACTCACATCAAAAATTTTCTTGACCACTTCTGTCTGGATTTTATCAAAAAGATTAAAGTCCTTCTCTTCCACCGTCTTATCCCGATAAACCCGATTTGATTCATGCACATAGAGCTTTATTAGGTCCTGTGTGGATCTTACACATTCCACTGAGGAAAAGAAAATGCCCTTTAAGGAGAATAGACAACAAAACAAAACAAAACAAAACAAACAAAACCATGGACAACAATTTAAAACTGCAACAGTTACAATTTATTGAAGCCAGTTATGTGACAGGTCCTGCACTGGATGTTTCGCCAAAGCTCACTTACCCATCATGATGACCCTACAGAGTAATTTTTATTATATCCATTTTGTATAATGTGGAGATGGGGATTCTGAAAGACAGGAAGCATGCCCAGGGCATGCAGTAAAAGGCTTTAGTTAGTATAATGTGGAGATGGGGATTCTGAAAGACAGGAAGCATGCCCAGGGCATGCAGTAAAAGGCTTTAGTTCAAAACCACAAGGTTTTGAAACCAGGTGTGCCTGAAGTGAGAATCTGGAATTTTAACCACTACATTCTGAATCACCACAATAATGGGGGGAAAGGTGCCTTCTCTGCTGTATTTCAATTCTACAAGTGTCACTTTGAAAATGAGTCCTGGTGACAATCGCTTATGAAAAATTGATGACCAAGTGAGGAAATATAGTTAACTTTTGCAGGTCAGCAATCTATTTATTCATCTCTAGTAGGTTCTCCTTCCTATACACCACAGGGGTTGTTCCAGATATTTGCTATTCTTTTTGAATTTTTCTGTCACCTTCCTCTGTTGCTATTAGCTAATGTCTCAGCCTTCTCTTTCATTGACAAATGGAGACCACCAAGATTAGCCCTTTGGCAACCTCAACAAATCCAGTAACTTCAAAGTCATCTATACCTGTTTGCCTTCATTGCCCCAGTTCTTTTTTTAGAGGAAAAGTGGCCATTTGGTTGTTCCTCATTACTGACAGTAATAACCCTGCACACTTTCTGTACCTTCATGCCTTTTGCTTTGCTTGCTATGCTCACATTTCAAGATCTAGCTTAACTGAAGTCATGCATGACATCACCTTTCCTGCCCAACAGCATTCCCTCTGATGCACCCCACATAACGATTTATGTATAAATCTCTATTACAGAAGAACTATTAGTTTCTAAAATTATTTTTATTCACACAGGTCTCCATCTTCCAGGTCCTGGTGAGTGTCTCAAAGGACAGGGAAATTGAAAGACATAATTTGGATGTTATTTATTTTTATCATTGTATTACTAGTACCTAGCATGGTGCCCGACATATGCTAGATTCTCAACGAATGCTTGCTGAAAGAATGAACGGGTTGATATTGAAACCTTCAATTACTGTAACATAGCAAGAACCTCCATCAGGATTTCTGCTTTTGGCAATGGCAGAGTAGCTGATCTCACCAACCCACTGAGGTCAACTACAGAAAACAGGAAAATTATTTTAAAGCTTAATCATTTTAGAGGCATTAGAAAGTAACCAAGGCAGTGGGGGCTAAGATACCAGAGAGAAGAGGAGGAAGAAAAATGAACCCAAACTTTGACACTATTTTTTCTCTTCAGACATTTGCCAAATCATGAGCAGTAGCTTCAGAAACTGAGAAGACAGATACAAGTGAGAGATCAAGACACTGAGCAGAGTTTTCTCATCTCATGGAGAAGGGAGGATAAAAACTGGAGTTCAGTGATTACCAAGAAGGGGTCAGAGCTACAACCCCAAGGGACCGCCTCCAAGGGTTACACACTAGGGGTATGAGTGAACACAGATCATTCAATCCTTACAGAAACTCATGCTCAGCTTCAATCTTCTCAATCCCTGGTAGCTGCTTGCCAGAAACAGAAGTATATAATCTATGAAGGAAAATAATGCCATCTCAACCCTCAAATTATCTGCACATTTAAAACCTCACAATGTCTGGCAATCAAGCAAAAATTACTGGGAATAACAGGAAATAGGACCAAAACCAAAGAAAAAACTGACCCACAGGAGATCTAGGTCTTGGAATAATCAGACACAGACTTTAACTATGATGAATATGACTAGAAATTAGATGATAAGGTAAAGAATTTCAGAAAACTGGAACTTTTAAAATTAATCAAATGCAAAGTCTCAAATTAAAAATTACCCCAAGGTTACAGTAACTGAAACTAAGAACATTTCAAATAGGGCTAACAGCAGAACAGACACAGCTGAAAAAAGAATTAGTGAATGGGAAGAGAGATTAGCATAAAATATTCAGATTGAGCAGCAATGAGAAAAAATTTTAAAAAAAGAAAAGAGCATAAAGGACATAGGACAGAGTGAAAAGGTCTCAAAACATGCTGGAAAACCAGAAAAAGAGAGAGAAGCAGAAGCAATATTTGAGGACACACTGGCTGCATCATCTCTAAAACTGAACACTGAACTAGATTCAGAAGTGCTACAAACACTAAGCAGGATAAATACAAAAAATACTGCCTTAGTCATCTTAGGCATAAAAGTGAAAGTTTTGAAAAATCAAAGACAAAGAGTAAATCTCAAAATCAGGCAAGTGAAAAAATAAATATGTGTACTTCAAAGGAACAATAAGACTTAGAGATTATTTATCAACTGAAATGATGGAAACCAGAAAACAATGAAATAACACCTTCAATGTGTAGAGCAAAAATAGCTGCCAACCTAGAATTCTAAACCTCCTCCCAAAATTCTTCCAAAAATAATAAATCAATATATTTTCAGTCAAATAAAAACTTAGAGATTCTTGTCTAGCAGATATAAACTAAATACTAAATGTGTTCTCCAGGCAGAATAAAAATGATTCCAAAAGGAAGAACAAATATTCAGCAGGAATAAAGAGCAATGGGAAAAGTAATATGTGGGTAAATCTAAATAAACATAGACTTACTAGGACAAAAGTATTAGTGTATTATGGGTTTTCAATATAAACTGAATTAAAAGAAATAACAATAGCACAAAAATTGGAGGGAGGTAAATTTTTCTAAGATCCTTACATTGTATGACAGTTGATACAAGTGTTAACATAAAAGAAAAGAGGATAAAATGATGCATTTGGTAACCATTAGGTGAATTACAAAAGAATGAACAGCATGCTAAAAAAGGGAGAAAATAAAAAGAATTTTTTAAATATAAATTAGTTTGATAGAATATAAGAGAAGGAAGAAAACAGAATAAATAGGACATCTTGAAAACAAATAGTATAAAGTAGCCTAAATATATTATTATATAAAATAACATCAAATATAAATGCATTAAAAACATTTTAATTAGAAGACACTGATTTTTTTTAAAAATCATTAAATTTTTAAAAATATTTTTTTAAAGTCCATCTGTATGCTGCCTATAGAGATTTCCTTAAATAGGAAAATGTGGGATAAGAAGTTCCAAAATAATATAGCATGAAAATACTGACTAAAAGAATTAGTATGACTGGTTTGACTAAAAAATTAGTATGGAGTAGCCATACTAATACCATAGAAAGTTGACTTTAAAGCAAGGACCATTTTTAGAAAGAAAGAAGTACATTTAATAAGAAGGAAAGGGTCAGTCCATAGGAAGATATACTTATTCTAAATTTGTGTGCATCTAACAACATTCCAAAATATATAAATATGTCAGGAATAAAAGGAGAAATTGACATGTCTATAGTTACAGTGAGATTTTAACATACCCTTCTTAGAAATGAACACAATAAGCAGACAAAAAAAAATCAGTAAGGATATAGACAATTTAAACAACATGATTTACAAGCTTGACCTAACTGACCTATTGATAAAACTACACCCAACACATGCAGAATGCATTATTTTAAAAAGTGCACATTGTTTATATCTTGGGACATAAAGCCAGTCTCAACAAACTTCAAAGGAATAAAATTATATTGATCGTATTTTCTGACAACAGAACTAAGCTAGGCAGGCATCAATAAGAGAAAAATAACTAGAAAAATCTCTAAATTTTGGAAAATAAAGCACTATATTTCAAAGTATCCCATAGGTTAAAGAAGTATAGGGGAAATTAAGAAATATTATGAAGTAAATGATAATAATAATACAATGTATAAAATGCTTGCATAATGCAGCTAATGGTTTAATTACAGAGAAATTTTTGGCCTTAAAATGAGTGTTTTAGAAGAGATGAAAGGCTGACAGTTAATGGCCCAAGCAGCCATGCCAAGAAGTTAGAAAAAGAACAAACTAACCCCAAATCCAAAGTAAATAGAAAGAGATTGTAAAGAAAGGAACAAATATTAATAGCATAAAAAACAGATGTCAAATAGAGACAGTCAATAAAATAAAAAACCTAATTTTGGTATACTTCCCAGTTTCTTTGACAAGACCAGCACAACTGATAACTCCCTAGTAAGGCTGATAAAAGAGAAAAACAGAAAAACAGAAAAAGCACACATATATCAATATCCAGAATAAGAAAGAGGGCATAATATGAGATACTATAGATGATTAAAAGATAATAATGGGATATGATCAATAATTTTATGCTGATAAATTAGAAATTGATGACATTGGCATCTTACCACACTGATATATGAATAAACAGAAAATCTGAATTGTCTAGTAGGTATTAAAGAAATTGAATTCATAACTTAACATGTTCCATGAAGAAAACTACAGAAAGTTTCATCAGTAAATTCTTCTGACATTTAAGGAAGGCACAATATAATGTTTTATAACAACTTCTTGAGAGTAGAAAAAGAGGGAACGCTTCCCAGTGTATTTTATGAGGACCTCATAACCTTAGAATATTGGAAGAAAAGTAATTACAGGACAATCTCATTAATATAAAAGCAAAAATTGAACAAAAATAGCAAATAGAATCCAACAAAATATAAAACATTCAAGAAAAGTAATTACAGGACAATCTCATTAATATAAAAGCAAAAATTGAACAAAAATAGCAAATAGAATCCAACAAAATATAAAACATTCAGCAGGTAGCAATTAAGTTGGGTGGATTATAGGAATGCAAGGTTGATCTAACATGAAAAAATAATCAATGTAACATTGTATTTCCAGAAAAGGGGGAGAAAAAAAGCAATATAATTACTTCAACAGATACATAAAAATCATTTTTTAAGTTTCCACATATGTTTGTGATTAAAACAGTAAACTATAAACAGGAAGAAATTTTCTTAATCTGGCAAAGAGTATCCTCAAAAATCTGTAAGCATCATATTTAATGGTCAACTATTAAAAGCTTTTCCCCCTAAAATTTAGAAGGCAATGAGATGCTACTCTCACTACTTCCCTTCAACATTGTACTGGCAGTTGTAGCCAGTACAATAGGAGAAGAAAAAGAAATTACAAGATTTAAGGATCAGAAAGAAAGAAATTGTTATTATTATTATTTACCAATAACATGATTGTATATACAGGTGTATAATATTGAACAGAAGACACAAAAGAATATTTATCAAATGATTCTATTCATATAAAGTCTAAAAATAGGCCAAAATAACTTATTATGTTAGAAATCCAGACAATATTTACCTCTGGGTGGAGGAGGAAAGAGGGAACAGAAGTAAGAAAAATCAGGAGCTTCAGCGATGATAGCAATGTTCTATTTCTTGATCTGAGTTGTGGTTACATAGGTGTGATGGCTTTGTGATAATTGACCAAGCTGTATGCTTATGACTTGCATGCTTTTCTACTTGTATGTTGTACTTTAATAAAAGTTTATCTTAGAGAAAGAAATTACATGAGGTCCCTTTGGCTCCACCATACATACATCTCAGCCCTTCTCTCCTTCCCAGCTCCCCCAGGTATCCACCGTGTATGAGACGCATGGGGCAGGAAGAAGCACCAGCCGGGAATCCTGATCCGAGGACTGTGTCTGACTGCGGGGTGTGCTGTCAGCTGGTTTATCAGCCTTCTTACCCCAATCACTCAGGCTGACTGACAATTAAAGGCAGAGTCAAAGTGAGCATGTCATGTGCGAAGACAGTTATGTGCGACACTGAGATGGGGATGGTTAACGATGGCTGCTGCTCAGAGCTCTATCAAATTCTGTCCTGATGGGGACAGCACGAGCAAGTGCAGAGGAGGTCTGAATGACTGAGCCTTGGAGCAAGCTGGATGAAGAAAAGCAGCATGCCCCCTGGGCAGTGCCTGTCTCCTAGTGGGCATTCAACCATCCCCTTAGGCTCTTCTGTCAAGCCTGTAGACAAGCAGGCAGGGAGGGAGGGAAGCACAGGAAGGCTGAGGTCAAGCTATGAGCTTGAAACCCCCTCTGGAAGAGGAGGGTGAAGGACTGTTGGTTGAAAGGAGGCATGTGGTCCATGGAGGATGTGCTTTCCCACACTTGTGGCAGGTGGCTGACAGCTGGCAAGCTGCAGAGATGCCTGGCTGGGACATAGAGCCCAGGGGGTTGCCACTCAGCCTGCCTGGGGCAGGTAGAGAAATGGGGCCAGGGAAACAAGACTTACCCTCCCGGGCTTTCCACTTCCTTCACTGGCTGGTTGAGTGTTTTAGGCAAGTGTGTATAATTTTTGTGGGTCTCTGCTTCTTCATTTTTAACCGAGTTTATTCTTGGGAGGTATATGACCAAGAATGCTGCCCTGAGCCAACTCACATGTATTCTGAGACTTGACCTTGCTGTGGATTCAGTGGCTCCACCTTTAGAACCCTAAAGCCTTTCTGAGCACAGCTCTTGGATCTTTGAGCTAACATTTACTAGGCTTCTGCTCCTTATGACCAAGAGTCCTGGCTGGAACATGCAGGCCCTGAGTCCTCAGGTCTGAAGCTTTGCTGGTTTTAGGTTCCCCAGAGTCTGGGTAACGAATTGCACATACATGTGCTCCCTGCAGGGTCATGCTTCTCTCCCTGATCCTGTTGACCTTTCCCTACAGGTGTGGCCTGTGCTTGGTGTGAAAGGCATCCTTCACCCAATAATGGCTTGGTGCAATCTTGGGAGTGATCTCTCTGAAAAGTAGTTTCTGCAGATTCTTGTGGAGGATTAGAAAGTTGTGGCCTCTGCCGTGTGAGGATGCTGTACCTGACCAAGAGGAAGAGAGGCCAGGGTCTGCTGCATTGCCCTCTGAGACTCTGACAGTGAAGGACCAAGCAACTAGAAGCAAAGGGCAGAGATAGGCCATTACTATTCAGATGAGCAGCTGTAAGGATCTGAAATGGCTTTGCCCTGGAAAAGAACTTGGATATTTTACAAGTGAGGCATCCCAAGTGCTGGCAGATGGTGTCTTAGAGATATTATGATATGGCTTCTTCAAGAAGCAAATGCTTCTCTCCCTGATTGGATGCCTTTCACCCAATAATGGCTTGGTGTAATCTTGGGAATGATCTCTCTGAAAAGTAGTTTCTGCAGATTCTTGTGGAGGATGAGAAAGTTGTGGCCTCTGCTGTGTGAGGATGCTGTACCTGACCAAGAGGAAGAGAGGCCAGGGTCTGCTGCATTGCCCTCTGAGACTCTGACAGTGAAGGGCCAAGCAACTAGAAGCAAAGGGCAGAGAGGCCATTACTATTCAGATGAGCAGCTGTAAGGATCTGAAATGGCTTTGCCATTGAACTTGGATATTTTACAAGTGAGGCATCCCAAGTGCTGGCAGATGGTGTCTTAGAGATATTATGATATGGCTTCTTCAAGAAGCAAATCTATCCTGCATGATTTGGTTGACTTCTTTTTATCCCAAGAACAATAGGTATACCACCAGGGCCTGCAAAATAGCTTCAGCTTTGTCTTCTGTGTCATTTTCTTTCCTAGGTGTGCCGAAATCATTATATGACATTATCTCCAAGATGCTGAGCCCTCTCCAGCCGGAAGGAACCAACTCAGAAATGCATTCTGCTTACTGGGAAATAAGGTCATTAGCAAACAGAACTCTGTTTTGCTGAAGTCCTTCCTTACGGGGCCCATCTCACTCTGTTTACCTTTTTATGTTCATGCGTCCATAGGAACTGAGCCCTTGCCTAAGAGTTTGGCATTAACTACTATTTTACTAGAATGGAAGAAACCAGATCATTATTCAGCCATCTCAGCTGGCACAGACTGACCTACCTGGAAAATGTTGGCAAAGTCTCTGAGATTGAAGATGTAGTGGAATTTGATGGCTGTGGGGAGGAATGTGGTGGCAATCTTCTGGTGGAAGTTAAGGGTGAGGTCGATCAGCGGGGGGACGGACCTCTGCAGGGATGCTGGGAAGTTTCCAAGCTTTAGGTGCTGACTCAGGATGGTGCTGTAGATGGAGGACAGGGCGTCTGCTCCCGGGAAGGAGAGGACGAACACACTGAAATGGCGCTGCACCGGGAAGAGAGGTATATGGAAGGACCCGGAGTCAGACATCTACCACAGAATAAAAATCACCATCTCCGGATTTGGATAACACTATGAAGACTTCCTATAAGGCTTTGAATTCTACATACTGGTCACATTTCTCACCCTAAACCCAAACTTAGGTTGAGCTAAAATGACTGGGGGAATAATGGGCTTTGGACCTTTGGTCAAAGACATCAGTATGGGGTAGTAAGAAGAGAACCTGAACTCAGAGAATGTGAGCCCAAATCTCAATGTTACTGAGTACCCACATGAGCTTGGGAGAGTCATTTCATCCCCCTGAAGTTTTCTTATCCTGAAGAATGAGTCATATCAGATGAACTTGATGACCCCTTTCAGCTTTAAAAGCTTCATAACTCTGGGTCTAGGAGTTTCTTCATCCCGCTAGAAATACAAGTCAGCATCCTGTGTGATTTACCACTTTAAGAAGCTGGACAGGGGAAGGGCCAATTATTACTTAAAATCAAGGGACATCTGCCCTGGTAAGGGAGTGTTTAGGACTCAGATACTGGCTACTCCCATACCTGAAGCCGTGGGTTGATGGTGAAGCTGCCTGCAGTGGGGTTCATGCAGGAAACACACTGTACATTCATGATCTCCTTTAGGCACAGCCTGTTACAGTCATACCTGGAACAGTCAGAAACCACAGGTTAGAGTTGTGTGAGGGCCCAGGCAGGTGAATGCCTTGTAAAGGTGTGGTGGGCTGTGCCCTATTATTCATGCACTTGAGTACATGAATGTCTTGGTCCATTGGTAGAGACTGAAAAGAGACCAGATCCTGGGACAAAATCCTGAGGGATCTAATATCTATGGAATAGCATAGGAAGAAGAGACCATATGGATGGACTAAGAAAAATGGGAGGCAGAAATTCAGGGGTGTGTGGCACCTCAGAAAGCAAAGGAAGTCAGTATTTCCAAAAGGAGAGAGCCGTCAGCCATGTCAAGTGCTGTCAAGAGAATAAGAAAGATAATGACCCACATCTGAGGTCTGTCAGACTTCACATAAAGACACAGTGAGCAGTTGGGCAAAACAGCTCAGTAAAGTTGAGGAAAACAGAAAGTAAATAATAGTGGGCCGGGGAGTGAGTGGGAGAGGAGGACATGAAAACAGCAGAGAAATCTGGTTATGTAGGGAGAGAGAGAACAGTAACTAGACAATCATTTCTGAACTCAATAGAGAAATTTATGCAAGTTAAAATACTGGTGAGAAGGAGCTAATCAGGAGAAAAGGGGGGCTAGATGATGGAGTGAGGATCTCAGGAGGTTGGAGAGAGTGGGGTTAAGGTGCGGTGGACAGCTAAGCCTCAGGGCAGATGTGTCAGCCAGAGGGACAGAAAGATGCATGGGGGTGCAAGTAAGTTGTGCAAGCAAGAAATGGAGATGGCATGTGTGATCATTCATGGAGGTGGTTGGGAGTTTGAGGTGAGAGGAGAAGATATGAAATGGACTTTTCTGAGAGTGGAGATGTGAACATGCATAGGCAGTATGGGAGAATCCCTGGGAAGTTTCTCAGTTAAGATTTGTGGCCATGAATCTAAAAGAGGAGGCTTTTTTCCTTACATGAGAGCCATGTATCTTCTCTGGCCAAACCTTTTATGTGGGTTTTAATGCCCTTTCTGAAAGAGCTTTCTAGAAAACAGAAGCCTGTGAGGAATGCAGTTTGCCATGGGGATTCTCAGCTGGCACCAGAGATAAATTGAGGCTGGCAGCCCCGACAGAATAGACCGGGCTTCAGCTCTGCCTTGGGCCTTTCCCGCCCCCCCTGTGTGTGCTCTTACCAGTGGCCATAGTCCAGATGCTGCCTGATGACCGTGTGTGGCTGCACAGTCCCATAGGCATCAACCTCGGGCATGTTCATGTCATCGATGAAATAGATAAGCTTCTTGTTGCCTGGGGGGCCATAATTTCTGCCAGCCTTCTTTTCTAGAGGCTTCTCCAGGACAGCTGAGGAAGAGAGCCAGTTAGTGAAACAAGGAAGTTCAAACCTCAGGTGCTAGTACCCAGCGAATATGGATGTCAAGGTCAAGCAATGGTGCAATGTGCTCAGGCTTGCAAATGATGGTGGCAGCTACTACTAGATTCAGGCACCCCACAGAACCAGAAGGAGAAGCTGGAAATGACCTGGCAGTAGCAGGGAAGTACTGGCCAGGTGTTGAACATCTTATTTTTGCACTGTTAGGTTTTTACAAACATTTATGATCTCATTGAATCCTTATAACATCACTGCAAGATTAGTATTATCATCCCAATATACAGATGAGGGAACTCGGACTTAGAAGAGTGACTTTTCTAAGATAGAGTCAGGAAACAAGTCCAAAGCAGTTAAATTTCAAAGCCTATGCTCCCGCTATCATACTTGTGGTCCCCAGTTTTCTTTGTAGAACCAGAAGAGACCTTCATAGTCCCAATACTGGTACTCTACCCTCCAAAAATCTACAGATAGCCAGATCCTGGGTAGATCTGGCCTCTCTACCTTAGACACGGATGAGCGTGAGGCTGTGGCTCCCATCCCAGGGGTAGGTGGGGGCCCCTCCTTCCCCTGTGATGTAAGAGGGATTATTGGGTTTGTCATAAAAGGTGTTCTCAGAGAGTTCACCTCCCGTGGTTCTCCTGCGGGGGAACAGAAACAACAGCCTCAGAGTAATTTCCCAGAAGCCTCCAGTATCATGAAGGGCACTGCCCCACTGCCTGCAGGTTCTGAGGCCCATCTATCAGGGCATCTCAGTACCTTCCTGGAGATGAAGTATAGACTCTCTTGAGAAGCTATTTCTTCAATTATCCAGCCAGAGGAAAGAACCAAACAGCACCATTTTCCAGCCTGACAGGACTTGTTTAGAACAAACTTTTAAGTAATAGGGTGGATATATGTGTCTTTTCTTTCCAGTAAAGCAATTAAATATTTATGTATTACAAGAACCAACAGTTCCGATTACAGCTGGAAGTGCTAAGAACCATCTGATTTCTTCTCTTAAAAAACAAGTTTGTAAACAAGGAGAAAGTGTCAATAGACATATGAAGGTGACAGATAGACAAGTTCCTTCAAGAAGCTTGAATATTCTAATTTTTCAGGTCCTGAGTTGAATTAAGTGCTTAAAATATGAATTAAATTTAAATTAAATTAGCATCCAATTAACATACACTATCAACCAATTAATCACCCAGCACCTTCTTCCCCCCTAAAGATATAACAACTGTATATGAGATCTGTCAAAATGAAATATAATTAATGGGCTGCCAAGGGCCTGTTCTGGGCAACAGTCCTTCTAGTAGGAAATTCTCTCCTTAGGAAGACTTGTTTCTCCTCCTCCCAAAGTGGTGATATTCAAGTCAACCCCTGGAATTAAGCAGACCCTGTAATTTGGGTTGATTAAACCTTTTGTGCTTCTAGGATTTTGAGAAGAAAAGCATGTCAGTTAGCAAGAAGTGGCCTTGGAATGCTCTGGATTATCTCAAAAGGATGATTGTAAGTACTCCCAAGAAAGAGAGCCCCCCCAACCCTGGAAAAGGCATACACATTTTGATCCCTTCTTGGCCAAGCTTTGCTCCAAGTCGCATTGAGGATGGAATGGTAGCAAGTCCTTCCATTTGTAGGCAGAACTGCAGGCGCAGAAGTTTAAGTTTCAGCAAACAAGCTGATGTTGAAGGCACTAAACACAGGAGACATAAAAGTATGTGACCTTCCCACCACAATCTGGGCTCTGCATTGTCATGAACATGCCCTGGGAGTCAAGTCCACAGCCGGGTGCAGAGCTCATCTGTACCATCTCACTGAATTTCTGCAGCATGGCATTCGGCCATGACTGCGTGGAGCAGCACCAGCTGCCCTCTCTTCTTATCTTCTCACCATTCCTTCTGCACTGTTTCATCACCATCCTACATTTGAAGAGTGACTTCATTTTCAAAGTGGGTTCTCATTTGTTACCTCATTTCACCATCTCTGCTGCTACCCTCCTTGTCCATTGTCACTCACCTGGTAAAGGAGACATCGTCCCTAACGGCTGTTCTGCTTCCCCCCAGTAATCACTTCACTGTATTCTCAAAGCACACTCAGGGGAATCCTTGTAAGATGGAAATCAGATTGTGCCAGAGTCAGCTCTCCAGTGGCATCACCCTCACTTGGCGCAAAGCCAATCTGGTTACATCTGCAGTCCTTGCATCCATTTCCCCTTCTACTTCCCCCTCTGCACCCCTCCTGCTCCAGCCATCCTGCTTCTAACACACTCGCTGCCTCAGGGCCTTGGCTCTGGCTGTGTCCTCTGCCTGGAATCTTCTTCACCCAAGTGCCAGCACAGTTTGCTTGCTCACTTCCATCAGGCATTTATTTATTCAAATGTCATTTTCACAAAAACTCTTCCCTGATACTCTAACTCTATGCTTCCCCCTACCTCCTCTTCCCTGTCCCTGCTCCATTTCTCTCCACAACACTGATCACCACTTAATATCCTGGATATTTTAATTATTTGTCTTTTGTGTCATGTCAACCCTCCACACTATAAATGTCCTAAGGACAGGAATCTTTCTCTGTTTTTCTTATTGTCATAACTCCAGCACCTAGAACATTATCTAGCATATAGTAGGCTCCTCAAAAAACATGTATTAAGTGAATGAATGAATGAATTTTATTAGCATAACAAATTTCATGAATAGGCAAAGAAAGGTATATTATCTGTATTTTGTAATTAAGAAAATAGAAGCGAAGGCAGGTTAAATACCTTGCTGGAATTAGAACTCCTATCTACAGATACTAACTCCAACACTTCTTTCGTATCACTCAGGGAGAGAGCCCCTGTGAGTCCTCACATCCTGATCCCTCTCTAGGGTGTACCAACCATTCCAGTCCTCCTGATTCCTCCAGTCTCTGAACTCGAGAGCAGTGCATTCATTCATTCATCCATGCAAATGTTGACTGGCTCTGTATGGAGTACAGGATATGCATTTTATCAATGATCCCGCAGATAACGCCTATTGTGTATTACCAATACCTTTAAAAAATTATTTTAACAAATGAGAAAACTGAAACTTAGAGAAATTAAAGGATTTTATACAAGGTCATACAGCTACTGAGTGGCAAAACCAGGATTTAAACCCAGGTTACCTCCTGTTACCACTACTACAAACTACTTCTTAAACATTATTATTTCATGGCTTCTGCCCTTGAGAAATCCCCAGTTTAGTTAATTCAGTGCCTGACCATATTTTGACAAGAGTACATTAGCAATTAATCATGTCTTACTTTGTACCAACATGATTTGTATACCTGTGTTTTAACTATTTTCCTTCCATGTAGTCTAATCTTTCACTTGTTAAGACATTTCTGGTGTATTGGGAATTTGAAAAGTAAGGGCTTTGCATTTATTCTTTCAAAAAATAACGTTTTGCATGATTAAAAAATAATACATATTCATTATTTAAAGATTAAAAAGCATAGAAATCATAATGATGAACATAAAAATTGCCCATAATTTTATCACCTAGTAGTAAGCATTACTTCCAATATTTTGGTATATTTCATTCTACTCTATTTCCTCTGTTAGATTTTTCCTTTACAAAATCAGAATTATACTGCATTTTCTGCTTGTAAAAGTTTTCTTCATTACACATATTGTAAACATCTTTATATGATAATATATATCCTCCTAAAACATGATTTTAATTGCTACATTGCATTCCATAATTTGGAGATACCAAAATTTATGGAATGCTTTCTCTATTGTCTGAAATGTGTTGTTTTCAATTTCCTTATACTTTGAAACTCACTTCCCCCATTCCAAGCAGAGTTCTTGCCCACTAGCTGATAAATATTTGATGATTTAATTTTGTGTCATCTCCTTTTTGGAAGACATTAAGGTAAGAAGAAGAGAGCTGTCTATATGTAATAATGGAAGCTCATTGCTCCTTCAAGGTTGAGAGTCTGGTCAGATCTTTCACGGTGCCATCCAAGCTTAAACTTTTAATGATCAAGTTACAGAGATCTGTTTACACTCAGACACCTGAGCTCCTATATAATTAGTGTAATTAAGCACTCAAATATTTGTTGAACTAACAATTTAAATTGCAGTTAGATGGTGAGAGAATTCAGAATTGTGGAAGCCATCATCTCTGTCCCACTCTCTTTACGCCTTGACCTTTGCTTCTCCTTGTCTCTTCCTAAACTAGCCTGTCTATGGGCCATTGTGAATTTTTTCATTTTAAAAATTACTTTTATTTCAAAAGGAATGAGAAGAGGCTTGAGGTATTTGAGTAGACATAAAACAGACAAATTAAAATATAGACTAAAAAGGGATACAATAGGGGAAGAAACTTATTTGCACCAATAATCTAGAAGGACATAGTTACTATAACCAAATAAAAATGTATCTCACATCTCCCTTTCTGACCTGCCTACTTGAAAGCTCAGGACTCAATCTGTATTTAATTACATGCCAATCCAGATTACTGGCACAAATCTACCTCTACTTTCATATGAAAGTTTTCCCAGGCAGTAAGTTCTAAAAGGCATATATCAGGGATACTCACAAAGATAAATCAGGCTACAAGATGGGCATGGTCTTCAACTGAGATTTTACAGAAGATACAAAAGTAACTTAACATTATCTTTTATCACCCTAACTCTTAACAAAACCCAAGGACCGATCATTGGCTGTAATCCGTGGAGGGAATGAAAGCGAGGCAAGTGCATCTGCGGAGCTCAGAGGAGGAGGAGAATGAGGACGGATCTCTGCCTCTAACCTGAGATGTCAGGTTTACTAATCTGTGCTTTGTGTAGCTGTTGGTGGGTAGTCAGTTGAAGTCTGAGTGTTTCAAAGAAGAACTGAAGGGGCTATTTTATTTCCCATCAAAGGGAAAGATAACCCTGTGCTCTAGGTATCAGACCAACAGAAGAAAGTTGGCATTCTACTATGGAAATTAAGATGCATGACTTACAGGCTTATCAGAGAGGAAGG